TATTTTATACACTTAGGGTAGCATGCGTACAAATCACACCCAAAATGGTGGCAAATTTTTTTTGTAGATCAGGTTATTTAGAGTAAGTTTTTTTATTATCGTTATATCAAAATTATCATATTTGGTTATATTGACTAATTTTTATTTGTTCTCATTATTGACCAGGCTATAACATTAAGGTTATTACCTAATATTCAAGACATATTTACATACTAGTGATACAATCCAAAATAAAAAATAGAAAATTTCCCATAGAGTATAGTATCCAGAAAAATATTGTTTTATATAGTTATTATAGTTGGTGTTTGGGGTTAGATATTAAAGACTTTCAGGTTTTTTTTCTTAAACCATAATAATAATGATAACGATCATACAAAAATATTTGCTTTTATTTATTTTATTTAATATAAAACGTATAACAGGCTAATTAATTATTATATGATACTCTAAGTAAAATCGTTCTATATCCCCAAACTCTTTTGAAATCTTCATTCTAATACAAATATTAACCCTATATGAAAATTTGTGTTAAAATTTAATTACAAAATTTATAAAATCCTAGAAAAATATATAAAAATATTATAATTTATATATATATATATATATATATATAACTTACTGTATTAATATTTGTTTGCAGCTTGTTTAATATTTATTAGCTATCCATGTTTTGTAACTCTAGTTCTTCCTTTAGATATTTGTCATTTAAATCTTTAATACTGTTTACGGTTAGTTTTTTTCTTGCAAATATCACTTCCAATTTTAAATAATTATTGTTACTATCATTATAAGCTTTATTTAGTTTTTCAAAAAACTTATGAAGGGTTGGAACTAAATCAGAAATTGAAGATATTAGTTGTGAAATATTCAATTATTTATTGACTTTAATGGTATAAGCTATTCTGAATACAGGGTTGGAAGGTGGAACTTTTACTGTTGCATTTCTAGTATTTTGTAATATATATATCAATATATATTTATTAATATAATATATATTTATTACATATATTTATATGTATTGTATGTACTATTATGAGATATCCTATAGAATAGATGAGCAATATAAGAAATAAGCTTCACCAATAATTAATAATCATTAATTTTTTAATATATTCATGTGATATTTGGTGAAGTTTAGCACCTATTCTATAGAATATCCAAATTTCGAATTTACCAAATCCAAGTATTATTTGGTTTTTAAATTTAAACTTTTATTATCAAATTTTCTGATTTATCATCTTATAAATGTTAATACTAACCATATTCTATGCCTATAAATATAAAAGTAGAGATGTTAATTAGAGATGGTTTTGGTATTCAATATAACAAGACATATTATAGGTATTATATTTATATTTTGATCTGATCTGTGAAATAATTTTGGCTAATTTGATTTTGTCTAAAGAAAAACTCAACTCTTTTGGCATATAGTTTGCCTTTATTTTTTTATTTTTTGGAGATTTCTTTTTGCTAGAATTGCTATCTTCAACAGATTTCTATAAATATATAATTAATATTATATTAATATAAAATAAGTAAATTATTATAATATGAAATTATATATCTTGGTTTTTCACTTATTAGATTTTAATGTAATATATATCACCATTATTTTATTTAAACTTAGATTTTTACTCTCAGTAATGAATGAATCGAAATTATATTCATTGTCTAATGTTATCGGCTAGCCACACCCATTTATCTTGTATGAAATTTCAAGATCATAGTTATTGATTTTCTTATTTTTAAGATGCTCACAAGTATGTTTAGTAAGATCATAATAAAATGCATCAAATGTATCTAAATAAAACATAAACTATTTTCCTGCCAACAGTATAGAATTATTAATCTTAATAAAGACTTTTACTTTAATTCTGAACTTTCATTATTTGGTTGGTTAGTTGAAGAATCAAGATCGTCATTTGGTAAATCAGAGGTTGTTGAATAATTATCATCATGGTCATTATCAGTTGAAGAATATTCTAAATCATCTGGATCTTCTTTGAAACATGTAAAACGGCTATGACAAGTATTACAAAAGCTTATATTAAATTTTTTTTTAAAGTTGCAATCATAATACCAAAGTTTATTATATTTTCTAAGAAACAATTCTTGATTTAAAGATATTGTTTTAGGATTATAAACTCGACTGTAAAGGTTATGAATTTTATTGCAGAAAGGTTTTTCATTGTATTACATTCACAGAGATTTTTAGCTTCAGCAAGACAAAAAAGATATTTTTGATATAATATTTTAACCACACATATGATAAGTGATTATATTCAGATTAAATACCTTTTAAAATTCATTGTAGATATTATGATATTTATATAACATACAAATATGACAAATGCAAACAAAGGTCTACATATTAGCACCTTTATTTTTAATATTAATACTGACAAATATTACAAATTATATATACAAATACACAAAACCAAATCACTAACATATGTATATTAAAGTATTAAAAAATTGTTAAATTTCTGAAATTGATGATTAGAAGTTTATAAGCACTCTTGATTACCTGCTAGACATGTATATACATGCATAAATACAATTATAATTAGATTTTAAGAGCTAAAACTCAATAACGGGTTCCTTTTGGCTATCTTACTACCCCAATACCTGGGGCCAGTGTTGTCACAGGATAGTTGTAAACATAAGTTTGGACACTTTAGACAATTTTGGACAATTAAATAAATTAAAATTATTCAAAATTTTATTAAGATAACTTATATTAACTTTTAAGTAAAATATGATCAGTATATAACCTGATCTACAAAAAAAATTTGCCACCATTTTGGGTGTGATTTGTACGCATGCTACCCTAAGTGTATAAAATA